AACAACAACAACAACCTTTGGACTGTAGAGCTGGAAGGGGCCCTGTGGCTCATCAAGTCCAGACTCTTTCAAGGAGGCACAGCAGGGAATCGAACCTACAAACCTCAGGCTTTGTAGCCAGAGACCTAAGGCTCTGCTTCTCGGCCTCCTTGCACGCACATTTAGATGTCCTCACATGCACATGGTGCTAGTGGTTTCTTGATGCTGCCTATATGTTCAGAGCTCTTGTGGAGGGCCGATGCCTTTAATGCCGCCAGAGTTTGTGTTTGGTGACAAGCCTGTTACCCCTAGTAGGTGATTTGTGTTGATTACCAAAAAAAAGAAAAAGAAAAAAAAAGGATCGTGAGTAGCTATACGTGTACATCTTGTGGAACAGAGACATTTTTTGTCTGTGCAGCGCTCTCTATCTCGTGAAGGTCTGCAAAGGAGATTCTTTATTTTCCTTGCCCTCGTGGGCCTTGGTATAGCCAGCCTAGAGATTGGTTTTCTTGAGCAGAAATTGTCTGGGCCTCTATCTGGGGTAGATACCTGGGGATTTGGAGTGACGGTGGGTGGGGCGAGAGGGCTTTTGGAGAGGTCAGAGAACAGGAAAGAGGCAGGAGGCCTAACCCACATCCAAGCATCATCATCCTAGCACATCGCCGTTCTCCCTCCCCCATGACTTAAAAAGGTACCCTTGTCTATTAGCTTCTGGAATTTTTCTGAATGGTAAAACAATCGATGCGCGTAAGCCATCCTTATGTTTTGGGGGACCCCTTTTAAAGACTCGCCTGCGCAGGGAATGGTTTTCCGTCCGTGGACTTTGCCGGACAAAATTCTGATGCGCTGACAGACGGCACCGGGTCTCTGCAGTCTTCGCCCAGCCCAGCTGGCAGATTGGAGGAATTTGCAGAGCCGGCAGAGTTGATGTAAGAAGGAACGTAGAAGAAAGACGTGCTGGAGCCGTTCAGCGTGGTGACCTCGTTCCCAGGAAGGGCCTCTCAACACGTCATGTCGGGTGCTAAACTTTGTGCGTGTTTCACAAATCAATCCTCTCCTGTGCAGGATTTACAGTATGTCGTCTTTTGGAAGCTTGAAGGCAAATCTCTTCCCCTTCAACAAAACAAAACGGTTTTCCCAAAGTCCACATCTTTTACCGCCACCCTCCACGTTGTTGTTTGGCAAATAGCGACAACAGCCATAGTCATAATTGAGCACTTCTAAATGCTTTGTATAGATTATGTAATTTTAATCTTTGCAGAAGGCCTGTGAGGTTAATCAACACGATCATCCTCCATCCCTTTACATTTGGGGTGACGAGTGGGGGGATGAGAGGCTGGGAGAGCATACACTGGCCTGAAGACAGTTTGTGAGTGTATGGCAGACACGAGGTTTGAATTAAACGCATGCTGAGCATAGTCCAGAACCTTAATCCCTGCTCTGGACCAGCCGTTATTTGACCCGGAGCTGTCCATTTTAATATGGAGTATTAGGGAGCAACGTTGCGAAGGCCAGAATCTGAAACCGGGCGTTTTACCAGCTTGATGTAATGCTCTAGGAAAGGCACACACGTCGGTACCGTGAGCAGACTTTGCCGACTCGTAGGCTGGGGGAGAAGAACGAGAGCATTTCATCGGAAACTTCCCAAATTCCTTGTCATAAATATTAGATGGGGCAGCCTTTTAAAAAAATGAGTGATCTGGCACGGGGGCAGCTCGTGCTTTGCTCCAGCGCAGGTCCACACAGGAGGCCCACAAAAAGCCACGGATGTAGCCTCATTGGGACAGGCTGGTGGCCATCTTGTTCTGGCTACGGGGGATAATCAGTGTGGCAGGCTTCGTGGTAGCTCTCCAACCTTCCCCGGAGAGCGTCCGTCTTTATTCCCTCTCTCTCTCTCCCTTTTATTATTTTGCTCCTCTATGGCTTTAGTCCTGCTTCTTTTCTCTCTCTCTCTCTGTCTGTCTCTCGGCTCTGCAAGCCCGGCCCGTCTCTTCTGCTGCTGCTAACAGGAACAAGCTGTCGCTCATGGAAAAGGTCATTCTTCAGTGGAAAACATCCCAGATGAACGTCAAGCGGGCTTTTCCCTCTGAACGAGAAGGCCCTGGAACGTTCCATGAGGTTCCTCATAGGACGGGAGATTTGCTCTGCAATAGCAAAATCGCCCTACGGCTGGAAACTACGGGGATTAAATGCTGATAACGACGCTTCTGAGCACATTTGTGCGGTTGCGCTTACCTAGATTCAAAATGCATGCTCAAGATCTCTTAACGTGAGTTGTCTACTTCACAGTGGCTTCCGAACCAGCAAATCCTTAGCATCTCTGTCTCTCTGCTCGCTTGCCGAAAAGGGTACTTGGGGCCGGGACGCTGCTTAAAGCAAATCATAAAACAGAATCTATGCTGTTGAATGTGAAACCGAAGATCGGGAATGATTTTGGGAGGATTAAAGAGGTTTGTGATGGATTTGATGGCAGAAAAGGGATGGATAATATATTTTTATGATGAGCAGGAAGAGTGGTCTCTCATCTGTCTCCCCCCCCCAGTTCATTTATTTTTAAATTCAGAGCCAATTAGCAAACAAAAAGGGAAAGAAAATGTGTAGAACGTAATGAGGAGAAAAGGAAAACATAGCTAATGTGATTATTTAGAAGAAGGTTGGGTAAGCGTATTCTGCAATCCAGACAATTTCCAGTCATAGCCAACGTGCGCTCAAAACGGCTGAAGAAGCTAAACCAGATTCGGCTCCATTTTAAACAAAATGGGAGTGTTTGCTGAATTAATGAATCTGGGGTAAAGTGTGCGTGTGAGCGTGGGTCTCTATGCATGTGGGGAAGGATTGTGTTTGCTGGCCAGGTATGGACAATGCGCTAAGCATTGTGGTGCAATTCTGACAGTGTTGAATTGGTTCATGGAAAATCCAGGATCTACTCAGCCATGGAGTTCGCTGGGTGACCTTGGCCTGGTGGCTCCCTTTTTGTTCTTTTTAGCCTGACCTACCTCACAGGACCGTTTTGACGATAAAGTAGGAAGGAGAAACAGAGAATGTTGCGTCGAGCTATGTCAGATGCTTGGACTGGCTAGCTGCATTTATCAGGTGGGAAGGAGGCGGCCCTCGTTCTACCTGGACGTCCGAGGGGGAGCTTGCTGGGTGACCTTGGCCTGGTGGCTCCCTTTTTGTTCTTTTTAGCCTGACCTACCTCACAGGACCGTTTTGACGATAAAGTAGGAAGGAGAAACAGAGAATGTTGCGTCGAGCTATGTCAGATGCTTGGACTGGCTAGCTGCATTTATCAGGTGGGAAGGAGGCGGCCCTCGTTCTACCTGGACGTCCGAGGGGTTGAATCCGTAGCCTGTTTGTCTGCAAAATATTTTTGTACCATGGAGATTTTCGCTTCTGCTTAGGCTCTCTGTGCAGGAAACCTGTGTGTTTCTGTGCTACCTTAAGCTCTTTAGCAGAAAGATGGGACACAAGCGGAAGTAAAAATGAAACTAAAAGAGGAAGAAATCACTTACATTGCTTATGTTTGTGGTGCACTGTGTATTTTAGCATGTTACCTACTGCCTGCCGCTACGTTATGTTTTAGTGAATCTATTTAAGAGCCCGAGAATGCCTAATCATGATTTCCATTTTTTTTACTTGTGAAAAAAACAAACCGTCTGTACGATCAGCAACCGATAGATGATTACATTGCTGTTAATGCAGATGAGTATGTATATAGATTGTATATCTAATCGTGTAAAGAAGTTTAGTGCCTTTTTGTATTATTATTATTTAGCTTGTTTTGGTGTATAGTGGGGCTTTTCTGCAAGAAGGCAGCAGTTTAATTGTGACCTTTTTTGCAGAAGCCCGAGCAGCTTTTTCGAGGGTGGGGTGCGGAAGAGCGGTTGAGTAAAATGTTGTGTGCCGAGACAAGAGGATTGCTGGAAATGATTGAAAAACATCAGCATGTCCGTGCCACAGATCTCCCATACCTGTAGATTTTTAATGCAAGCAAATACTATACAGTACATATTCCTGGGTGCTTTATTTATATTTCCTGGGTGCTTGGCAGCTGGCATTTGGCAACGGACATGCCTGGTCCACACGGTGCCGCCCGACTCTTGGTGTGTTTTGTAGAGGGAGTGCCCATGTATAGAGAGGGGTGAGTGTGTGTTTATCCTTTAGCTTTTTTTAGTCCCTGTAAAAAAGATGCGGGGGGGGGGAAGAGAGGCGGGAGAATGAAGAAAACTGAATGACATCATAGGTGAGTTGGCCAATCATGGTGCAGAAGCTTTCCCTTGCTGCCGTACCTATTGGCTGTGGATACTGCAAGGTTCCGAGGGGGGGGCGGCTTGGCTTGCTTTTGAAGTGTCTGGATACCCATTGACGTCTGAAAATAAAAAAATAAAAGAGTCCTTCCTGCCTTTTCCAGGGTCTGAGTTCAAGAGCCGATGCTTCTTTGGATGTCACCGAACAGGACTGCCACCCACATGGCCAGCGGGTGACTTCATTTAATGTTTGTCCTCTCGGTTTCGGAAAAAAAAAAGCAGGGAGGGGATGTGGAAATCCAGGCAGTCCGAGGTTTGATGTTTCTGCAGTGACACCTGGTGTTATTTTTCGGTTAATGATTGGTGAGCTCTCGGGGACCTGCTTTAGCTTAAAAGCCATTTTCCCCTGTCTTGCTAGAAAGGGATAAAATAATTCACCGGGGTTATTTATTAGCTCCGCGATGACATCAGCTGGGCTCTACCTGGCACAAACAGTCAAAGTTACATCAAGCGGTGCCCGACTGACAGATCCCAAGTGCTGTAAGCAACTGTACTCAGGATGATGACCTCTGTGGCTGTTCTCCCTTTCTTGCTCATACAGTGGGGTGGACGTGCATGCACAAGTCTGCATGTGTGTGTACGTGAGTCCCAGGGTGGATAAAAATCAATGATTTTTTTAAAAAATCCAATTGGTTTAAATCAAAATTTAAAGTTAAAAATTATAATTTAAAACAAAAATTTAAACTGTCAAAAGGTTTGATTTTTAAATTGTGATCTACATCGCGGTTTAAATCAATTCGATTTGAATCAAATCCACCCTGGCGGACTCTGACCGGAGACCCAGTGTGCTTCATCCAGATCGTATCTCACTGCATGGTTGCGCGCGTACCTCATGATTGGTCTGGACCCTTGACTCTCAAGCTGCAGTAAATTGAGTTGTCTCTTATGTTTATAGACACATTACACAAATAACGTTTGTATGTGTCTATGTGCCTATCAACATAAATAAGATGCCGCCATGTTTAGGCACAGTTACATACAGTTTAAAGCATTCTGCTTTCATGCTATCATCTTTGTGTGTTGGTGATTCGGTGAAGTCTCCCTTTTCTGCCACGAATGGTGACTCATTCCATGACCTCTTGAAACAGATGGTTCTCGTTCACTGCAAAGACATTTCTCTGCTGCCCACCTTGAATGCTCTGGTTATTCCCGGCCTTTCTGACGTCGGTAATAATAGCTGCTCTCTGATTTCCTGTGAAATGCATCGAAGCGCATTGAGTCACACTTGGCCTGGATTGCCGCCTCGTTCCTCGGCCTGCCTCCTCTTTTAGGCCCCAAAGACATCATCCAAACTTTGACCCACACCTGGACCCCCGTGACCCCACATCGATCATCCTGCAGTTGCATCACAGGGACTGTATGCTTCGTGGCACTTGCTTTGCGCTTTTGAAAGATGTACACATCTTTTGAAAGACCCGCTTCCTTTCTCGCCACCCTGGGTTGCTGCGATGTTTGACCTAAATGCCCGAAGCGCATCTGAGGGTGGCTTGGAAAGGTAGTACTTGATTTCTCCTTCATGTTTCTCTGTTGAGCATGGCGAGGTCCATTTTTGTACCGACTTCTACCTGCCATGGAGACACAGCCGTCTGGTTCCAGGTCGGCTCTTAGGACCGTGTTCCAGATCAAGTCTCCGTCTTCAGTTACGCCAGGCGGTAGCAGCGACACCCGAGCACAGGAAGCTCCAGTTTCTGATCTACAGTCGAGAGCGCCCATCGCTGCAGTCCACGCTTCCGAGAGATCCGTTTGCCCTGATCCATTATGCAGTCAGGGTTGTGCCGCTTGAATACAGGAGCCCGTGACTCTTGGAGAAAGACGTGGCCTGCTTTTTCTTCGGCAGATAGAAAGGGTTCCCCCCCCCACCCGCTTCCTTTCTCGCCTTCTGCATTCTTCTGGTGCTGAGCCTGGGAGGTGGATGCTAACGCAACGCAGGCGGTTCTGCTGAGATCACAGGCTCTCCGGAAATGGAAGGGGATCGGGTTTCCTTCTGCGGTAAAGGCTCACAGGCTCAACGCTCTCCGTGGCTTCGTGGACAAACACTGAAATGTGTCGATGTCAGTGGGAAAAGCAGGATGGGAGACCGTCGCCGTGATTTCTGGGTTCTCCAAAATGGGGAGCAGCATATCGTGGATGAAAACTAAGGCTTAAGATCCGGCAGTGAAGTGGAATGTCTCGTAGTTACTAGAGGCCAAGGATTTTCGGGTCCTTGGTTTTGACAGTCTTAGTAAGAGACCGGAGGCTTGACGCGAACTCATGGTTTGCCGCTGAATTATTTTTGTGGAGGAAGAGAAAGCAGCGTTTATAATGATAATTGTTCTCGCAGTACCTTGCTGCCGGGTAGCTATGAGGCCATTTCCATCTTGCGTTCCTACGGTAAGAACAGAAAGTTTGAGGAAGGAAGTGCAGTAGCTTTGGGTGGGAACGGAGTGTGCCTTTTGGAACCTCACAGCCTTCGGAGAAACCTTGCAAACCGAGGATCCGGAGACTGTAAAAATAGCGACTCTTTAAGCGGGTGAAAAAAAAAGGTTTGTGGATTGTATATGGGAATGAATATAAGAAGGGTGTCCCATGTGCCCGTTAATGACGTGGAGCATTCTGCAATTGCTGGTTTAACCCCCTCATCCCCCAAATATACAAATATATCTCAGCTTGAATGTTTTAAGTACGTATGCACCCCGGGGGTGTGTGAAGAGAAATTGCAATTTCATTTTTTGTGTGTAAACCTGGACTGTGTTGTGTTGTGTTGTTTTTTTCCATGACTCTTGTGGGTGTTGAATGGTACGAGCCTTTCTTACAGAATGACAGGCAGGATGTGTCAGAGAGGCAGATGTTGAAAGCAGTTTTTCAATGGCTGCCTGAAGCCAAGGACTTAAATTAGCTTTTTTTTTTTTTAAAGAAAATTAAAATGCATTGGGAGTTGGTTTCATGCTAATTTGCCTTGTCAAAGGAATGGGGTGGAGTAAGAGGAATTGTATGTGGCCGCTCCGTTCTATCCGTTGCTCTTAGCTCTGATCTTTGACAGAAGGGAAAACAAGGATCTCAATCCTCTGAAGTTTTTTTTATTCCTCCGGTTGGAAAGGTCTTCGTTTGAACAGAGGGCATACGAGTGCCTGAGAATCTCAGCCCTCCGCCCTCGCTTTTCTCTTGGTAAAAATATATTTCAGTTTGCCACAGAGTTTTGAGTCCACCTCTGTGATTTATTTAGGGGGAGGCGAGTCCCACGGTGGTTGTTTCTACTTATATTCCACTCTCTCGGTGGTTTACAACACAACTAGGTAAACAGCAAACACACACACGCACCCCCGTGCAAGTCACCGACCTCAGAAGGATGGAAGGCTGAGTCAGCTTTGATCCGGCTGCTTGAACCCATGCGGATCAAACTCAGGTCGTCAGCAGAGGCTTGACCGCAGTACTGCAGTTTAACCCCTGTACCCCAAGACTCATGCCCATTGCTCATTCGGCCCCTGATGGCCCTCTCAGTCCAAATAGCTCCTGGTTTTCTCCATAAACTCTTGTTTCCTGCCCTTTTGACCTGCGTCTTGCCCCTTCTATAAAATCTCAAATTAGAGCCAAGTTGTAGGAAGAAGACTGCACCCCATCGGCTGGAAATCTTATCCGTTGCACAACATGTCGGTGGGGTGGGGACTCGGTACACAACGGGTAAGGTCTGGGGAGGTTTCTGAGTTTCTAGCACCTTCTTCCCAAAAGGGAACGCCGTTGGCATCACTCCGCCGCAGGGTTTCAAGTCCTTTATTTGAGTCTGGAATCAGAATGCAAATTTTCCAGCGCCGGAAGGGTGGTGGGTGGCGAGCGTGGGAAGGGCGGCGTTTAGATTTTGGGGGTAATGAGTGGTCTCCTTCTGTTTTTCCTGCCCTCCAAGAGGTTCCTGCTCAGGAGGATTTGGACACCGTGGCTTGAGGAACAGCAGCCCCGACCCCTGGTAGATGTGGCCGACCTTTCCAGGTAAGGCAGCCTCTTATCTTTTTTTTCCCTTCCCCCCCACCCCTCACACTTCCTGGCCTCTGGTTCTCGACGTGGGCCTCTCTGGAAGGTCTGGTGTTTTCCGCCCGGGTCTCTATGGAAAGGCTGCCTGCTTCCAGACCCACCAGGTGAATCCTGTTCAGGTCTCCATGGCAACCGTGGCTGTATCTAGGCCAGTCAGTCACTACCTCCTTGCCTGGGTCGCTAAGGCAACGATGCTTGGATCTAGGCCAGCCCTTGGTTCCATCCTGGGTCCCCATGGCAACCGGCGAAGGGTCTGGCCGCCTCCCCTCGCACCCTTCTCTGGGGTAGCACAAGCGCCGCCCAGTACTGTACTCTTCTGGAGCCTTTCCTTTGGCCCGTCGCCTTCTTCTGGAGCTTTCTGTCTCCAATTGTCTAGATTTCTTCATGACCACTCTTAAATTTGCACTTCTAGAGCGTTTCCTTTGGCCCACCAACTTCTTCTAGAACGTTCTATCTTCAATTGTCTAGATTTATTCACATCTGTGCTTAAATTTGCACTTCTAGAGCCTTTCTTTTGGCCCATTGAATTCTTCCGGAACTTACTTTCTTCGGTTGTCTAGATTTATTCATGACCGTTCTTAAATTTGCACTTCTAGAGCCTTTCCTTTGGCCCATCAACTTTTTCCAGAACTTTCTGTCTTCAATTGTCTAGATTTATTCACGTCTGCGCTTAAATTTGCACTTTTAGAGCCTTTCCTTTGGCCTGTCGACTTCTTCCGGAACGTTCTATCTTCAATTGTCTAGATTTATTCATGACTACTCTTAAATTTGCACTTCTAGAGCCTTTCCTTTGGCCCGTCAACTTCTTCTGGAGCTTTCTGTCTTCAATTATCTAGATTTATTCACGACTGCGCTTAAATTTGCACTTCTAGAGCGTTTCCTTTGGCCCGTTGACTTCTGGAAGGTTGTATCTTCAGTTGTCTAGATTTATTCACGTCTGTGCTTAAATTTGCACTTCTAGAGCCTTTACTTTGGCCCATCGACTTCTTCCGGAACTTTCTGTCTTCAGTTGTCTAGATTTATTCACGACTGCGCTTAAATTTGCACTTCTAGAGCCTTTCCTTTGGCCCGTCGATTTCTTCTGGAACTTTCTGTCTTCAATTGTCTAGGTTGATTCATGACCGCGCTTAAATTTGCACTTCTAGAGCCTTTTCCTTTGGCCCGTCAATTTTTTTTCCAGAACTTTCTGTCCAGGTGGTCTGGATTGACTGACGACGGCTCTTAAATTTGCACTTCTAGAACCTTTCCTTTGGCCCATCGATTTCTTCCGGAACTTTCTGGATTTCTTCGTGCCTCCTCCTCAATGCGCACGGCCTGCTAAGAGAATTCGTACTTTTTCTTAAAAATAAAATTGATAAAAACTGTGTTAAGCTGCCACATTTCCTCTTTCGCCTTGCCTGGCGTGAGGGGGTCCCATCTTCGCGGTCCGCTGGGCTCAGGCCTGCCTATTCTGGACCCTTATCGAGTTGTCATAGCAACACCCACCGCCCTGACAGAGGTCCACGTCCCTCTTCCTTCCTGGGGAAGGAATTGCGAGCTGTAGCAGTTCTTCCAGGCTCTTGTTTTCATCTGTGGCAACTCCCATTAAGGGCCGTGGCTGGCTCTTTGTTAAATTTTAGACCCCTCGTGATGGCAGCAGTAGCTTTTTTATCCTCACGACTGCTTTTCCAGGCCCTCGGCTCGCCCTGGCAACCTCCGGGCGGTTGTTCCTGGGCTCTAGAAGCCCTTTCTTCAAGTCTGCATCCTGGATTCTACCATCTGTTAATATTTATTAATTCCCCACAGTGTACGTGGCACCCCAATCGAGTCACGTAGGGAAAAACATATCCCTGCTCCTCACAGCCAAAAATAGATGGGCGCGTGGTCAGGGAACTATACAAATTAACCAAAACGTGGGACCGAGCAGGCCTCGGCTGGCTCTGAGGCCTGCAAGAGGCTTCATAGCTTGAGAATTAGAAGTAGAACGATGTGGAAGGCTCTTTGTCCATAGTTGACTAGAATGACTGCCGATCCATTTCTGCAGTAGTGTTTTATGATTGTAAACTACCTTGAGCAATTTCAAGATGTATGAAAGTGGAACCTAAATGTGATTATTGATAGGGTAGCAGTGGTATGCAGGTGGATGTAGGATGATGGAACTCCCTCAGTTGTTCTCACACCTCACTTTGCGAAGGGCCTTCCTTCCTTCTCTCTTTTCATGTCTTTCTTTCTTCCTGCCTCTCTCCTTTCCTTTCTTCCCTCCTTCCCTAGAGCCGCCTAGAGTGGGCTTAGCTGGCTAGATAGGCAAGATATAAATAAAATAAAATAAAACAAATAAATAAATAAATTCCCTCCTTCCCTCCCTCCCCCCTCCTTCCTTCCATCCATCCATCACCAGCTCTTTCCTTCCTTCCGCCTCTCTCTTTTCCTTCCTTCCTTCCTTCCTTCCTTCCTTCCTTC